CCCGGAGACCGCTACACGGATCTCACAACGCCGCCCGAAAGCTTCCTCGCGTATCTTCTTTTTCTTCATCCCCTACTTTGCACTCCGTAACCTTGAATGTTCTCCGCCAACGCTTTTTTATACGTCTCCTGCCTTTTGGCACATTGTCGGGCGCTTTCGAGCTTTCCGCACGTAATGTAGTACGCGTACGTAAACGGCTTTTATATAGAAGGAACAAATGCTTCTGCATATTCTGATAAAGCGACTTCTCTGGCGAAACAACTCGATAAAAATATTTCGCGATTGAATGTGCATGTATTTACATGATTAACTCGTCTCTTTTTGACTAATTTCCAATAAATTATCTTTTTATTTTGAGAAGAATAAATTCTTGTTCAAAATTTACGTATTCTGCTTTCAAACCAAGGAAACGCACGAATTTGGAATTTTGTTGTAAAAGATTTATGTCAATCGACATGTTACAATTTTAGAAACAACGAATTATATTCCGCACAAGACCTTACGGTTTTCCTAGCAGTTTCTCGGCGAGCGCTTTCGACATTTCAGACTAGATCGGTATAAGATCGCAACGATTACGTAGGATGTTCCATGGTAGTTCCATAGATACGCGTATATAATATAACACGGTCTATGTTCTATGGTGAATGGGGCATGGGGTGTGGGTCGCGCGTGTGGGGCGACAGAGGGAGGAGGGCGGGCTTGAGCGGTGCTTTAGCCGGGGGCTGTTAAACACGGCGGGTCTTATCGGTAAAACTGTTCTGTACAGGACTACCACGTCCAGCCATTGGCCGCGAGAGTATCTCTGGCCTTATACTCGTTGTCTGCTAGGTATGCATGCGAGGTACATTACGCGACGTTAATGCTCGCGCGCTAAAATCGTTCGCAGGAAGCGAAGACTCCTGCTGAAACCCTGTAAACCCTGTCGAGACGTGTTGCTTAAGCTGTCACGCTTGCTCGCTTCGAGCTCAGGCATTCTGATCTTTGGTCGAGCACGGCATTAGACGATAAAAACGTCTTTTTGTCCGTGTGTAAGAGAAAGTCGTGAAGTTGGAGAGTCTTTTAATTGAAAATGCGTTGGTCGAAGCGACAAGAAAATATATTTCGAAATTGCAAATAGAGAGGAATGATATAAAATAAAATTGCACTTTCTAACATGAAATATTTTTTAAAATCGTAATGTTTCAATAGATATAGACAGAATTATTTTATATTTCTACTTTTTTCTACTTTGCATTCTTTTGTAGTCATCGCTATTTTAATGATGATTGTGATTCTTGAAAAGAAGCGAAAAAGACATCTTAAATTAAATGACTTTGTCTCTGAATCGCTTCGATTTCGTATTGTGGACAATCAGCTCGATCTACTCGATGTTCGACTTTTCGAGCGTTTAAAGGAAGCGCCCGATTGTGGAGAACATTGCGCTTCCAGTGAAGAAACTTCAATAAGTTTCCTAGGAATTGTTCCAGTTTGCACAATTGTCCGTAGTGCACAATCACCCATTCGACGTTTTCCTTATCTGGCGTTGATTGTGATTGAATTTTCTCGTTTAGTACGTAGACTAGTTTGTGAGATTCGCAGCTAACCAGATTAATTTACTTAATTTGATCGACATCTTTCTCTCACACACACATTTCAACTTTTATATAATATTTCTAATATATAATTTTATTTTTGACAGAAATTTAATTTGAGATCACGTTTGTAAAGATACGTACATGATATATGCCAAAATTGAAAAGTGGTCTTTTAATTTAAGAAATTGAATAAAATCTGCGTGACAATGTTTTCTACATGTTTTACGTAGCAGAAAGAGATAGATATTTCCTCCTGATTCTCACTTAACATGCAAACGCCAGTTTTAATCTTTAGCGACGAGTTAAATTCTTATCACCTCATTTGATGCCGCGCCGCTTCGAGTGTCGGGACGGTACGCGGACGCCGAGGCGAATAATGCGAGTGCGAGCAGGCGAGTACATAGGCAGGATCACTTATAAGCCCGGGCTTGTATATATGTATTCCTGGGTAGCCTTTCTCGGCATTAGGTAGCCGGGCTAAGGCCTTAGAGGTCTCCTGGCAACCAAGCCTATCAAACTATCTTACGGTCTAACCCTTACCATCTCCTCCCCGAAACCTTCCTCGACCCCCCTGGAATCTCACTTCGAGCCCTTAACGACCGACCCCACGAGAGACACGGCGAAATTGAGAAAATTATCCTGCCCCACGTTATGTGGAGACGATGACCACGGGGTTCTCGGCACTATTCCCTCCCTCCCCTCTGATACGATCCGACACATAGACAGGAGCTTATAGAGACGAGCAAGAAGTCCTGCGGGATCGCTGGGGAAACTAAATGGCCGGTGAGTCGGCTGCCATCTTAGTTGCGAATTAAGGAAAGGGTGACTTGACCCTCGTAGATAGACGCACCCCTGAAACGCTCGAAGGGGTAGCTGATGTAATTTGCATTCGAGGGGCATGATACGGCGTCCATTTTTGTGCATCCACGTTTCTATTGTTAATTCGTGCTAATATTAGACGATCAAATAAAAATAATTACGATTTTTAATGAATTAATGATAATAATTTAACAGGTATTATTTTCGCGATTTTTTGAAATGTTATTTTTTATTATGACTGATTTAGATTAATCGATCCGATAAGTACTTTACTATTTCTAATAATTTATTAGTGATCTACTTTTATGACTTTGTGCAAATTTAGTGTACATTAGGCTCAAAATAGCCACAATCGATAAGCGTTAAAGAGTATTAAAGAGGAAGCGGAAGCCGTCATTATTTTCGGAAATTCAGGATAGAAACTAATAGTCTTATAGTGTACGATTACTTTCAAAGTCAATAACAATTTAGATACTTTTTTAATAAAGTGTTTATATTGTTATATTTCGAAAGTACTAAATATTATAGAACAGACTATAAATTACTATATTAAATATTCTTTCTAAAGTCAAATTTTAACGACTTAAATTTATGTCGACAAAATATCTCGAATGACAATACATATTTGTCAATTCTTCAGAATATTAAAAATTATTACTACTTAACTAATTGGCATTATTTAAAGCAGAAAAATTATTAATGTAAAAAGAGTAAGACGAAGACATCTTGGAATGCGTTCTCAAAATTGTCGAACTTATGGCACGTAGGCGGAAACCGTAGTGAATTCCGAAATTGCTGGCTATTTATCCCTCAGGTCAAAGTTTCCCTCGTACTCAATGATCGCAGTGTTTTCGCGTGCACAATGAGAAGTCGTACTCGTTAACTCGGTCGGTGCACTCGTTTCGCGGCACGAGACGTGGGCGAGCACGAGTGTGGGCCGTGAGCTCGCACTCGTGCGAGCTGATCGTGGGTGGGTCACCGTGGACCAAAAGGGTCGGTCTGTCGTCATTCTAGTACGGTTACAGCGGGCGCGGAGCTTGACAGAAGTTGTAAACTTTATGGTAAACCGTGGCGGGAAGGAAGAGGGGCGGGGGGGCCGACGTCGGCCACGGCCGGTAAATGGGGAAGGTGCCGCGCCGCTGCAGCACCGTGTGCTTAATCCAATCCAGAGTTTGTTCTTTCGACGATCGACGTAATCACCGGCCGCACGTAGTTTCCAACCTGGCCTCGCCTTCTCGTCTCTCTTCCTCTCCTCCCCCCCCTCCCCCTCCTCCGTTCCCGTTCCCCTCAACCGACCGACCGACCAACCGACCGACCTAACACTTCGCTCTAAGGTTCCACCTCTGGCGTATGTACCTCGTTTACGAATGTTTGTCGATGCTTCAGCTTCGAGATCATCGAGGTGGTAATGGACGTTCGCGCCCACGAAGTCCTCGGAAAACATCAATGACTCTAGAACTTGAGTAGTAAAGACCGTACCCATCTCGGAATTTGAAGAGGGTGAGAGAACGTTCTGCGATACGTGGAGGAGTTTTGGTAAAATTGATTGATAATACGTTTGAAATTTTTTAAATGCCACATTTTCTTGCATTTGACGACTGTGACATTTTGTTCCCTCTCATTCACAATTAATAACAAGTCTTTATCTTTAATCTACTAATTAACTAACTTTGAATATTTGTGAGGTAAAGCTTAATTATTAGATGAGCGACATTAGACAATCTTTAATGCCTACAGAATTATTGGATATTAAATGCCGAGCGGACGACACGCTGGGTACCAATTAAATATGAAGCAATCTATTCTACGTGCAAATAACATTCTTGCTTGTTACATATTTAATTTTCTTCATGATTTTTATATTAAACATGCGCATCTATAAATTTTAGTAATTTCATTTATATTTAGTCAAAGCCAATTAATATTAATATTAATAGATCTTTCAAATCTTTAATCGTAGAAAGATACATAGTTAAAGTAAAAAGTAAATATAAAGTAAGTTTAATAGAATTAAAAGTTGATAGAACTTATAATAATTCGTAAAGATTCAAGCCGGATTGCATATTTGGTACAGTTCCAGAGAGTACAGTTCCTTCGCGGATCTCTACGGGGAATTCATTTAGCTATAGCGACAGGCTACCTCCGTTCGGGGTGTTTCGCCCGGGACGCGATTAATTATGGGGCTCCTTTTGGGGCTGCGAACCTCGAAGCTTTGAGCTCAGTCGGGAGCGCGGCGCGTGGGATGGGAAGTATAAGATATGCTCAGAACCGACGTAGACACCCGGCTTAGCTTCCTCGAGTATTAGATCAATAATTCTAACCTCAAACTGGCTCGGTCACGGACGTCGAACGCTCGGATGTAACTCGATATTCCTTCGTTCTGAATATTACTTCATGCTTGATAACCCTCTCTGGGGGTTTAATAATTCGCAGTAAAATCAGATGTATCTTTCTTGAATCGCTATATGCGCGCGGATGCCAGAAGAAGAAAGACCGAAATCCGGAAGAAAAGGGGAAGAATGTAATTTTAACCAAGTACGCAAAGCGTGTATAATAAAATGTACACAAATAAAATGTACACAAATTTAATAAAAATAATTGGCTTACCGCGTTCAGAAGGAACCAGTGATGAAAAAATTATGTGTTCCAGCGATGAGAGTTTTCTGTTAGTGTATCAAGTTGCATATTTTAGCATGATTGGAGGAGTTGCCAAGTTGTGAATGACCGCCGCTGGATATCTGGAGAAATTGCATGATGATGATGACGATGATGATGATGATGATGATGACGACGACGATGATGATGATAATGATGATGATGATGATGATGATGATGAAGTTGCTGTGCGATGGGTCGTTCCGACTTGATGAGAATCTTCGAATGTCAAAAAGATATTTTATGATGCGTAGGGATGTCGCACGCCGTAATTTTGACGATCGTAAATTTTGAGAAGTTACCCACCGACAGAAAAACTTCTTTACGAGCAGTAGGGATGCTGCGTGGACCGCAGCATCCCCGATACTGACCGACAGACCTAGATTTTCGTCTCTTGAAATACGCGGAACCAGCTCGCTCCTTACCGCACGCTTGTATTTACGATGCAGAATTTCGGTCTTTAGATTTCGAGAACCTGCCACCCCTCTTTACGGGATCTGGTTTCTTCTGCACTGAGAGCACATGCAGGAGATCATCATTGGTCCAGACTTAGCGTGAGAACGCGAGATGGTCAAGTAGCGAGATGATGGGAAGGCGCGGCAGAACAGGTTTTCTTCTCGTTCAATATCGCGAAAACGGCATAATTTATTCACCGACGTGACACGTGCTTTATGAAACTTCTCGAGATAGTGTGTAACGAATTTCTTTAACTTTTTTTTAACGACACAGATGTTTAGTAGATATTCACATAAGAAATATATTCACATAAGAAATACTCATATATGCGTGTAAAGGAAACTCTGTTATATCAATAAAGTTATATTAAAAATACAGAAATACATATTTAAAAAAATTTAAAAAGAGATTTAAAATAAATTTTAAAAATAAAGAAATTTAATTTAAATTAATTATGCTTTTGAAATTAATTACAGTACATATAATTAATTAAAATAAAAAATAATATGTAATTAATATATAGAATATAATGTAATTATTAATTTCAAAGATTAAATTTCATGAAATTTTTTAATTAAAATTATAAAACTAGTAAAATAAATCAGTTTAGATTAGATTCACGATTGAACGATTAGTTGAAACGGTAAACGACTATTTATTATTTAATTTTATTTGTTTTTATTGCGGCGTATTTTTTATGAAGATTTATTATTAAGATATTATTAAAATCAAATTTTACGATTTGAGCAAGTATTTTTACATTATCATCTTGTCTGACCAGTTTCATCCCCTGGACCTGATTTAAGGGATTCTTCTCTATGACACTCGCGCATCTCGTGAGATGACCGGCGGTCATCGGTATCGTGAGAAAGCCCCGCAGTCTTGAGAATAGTCCATCGCAAAACAGGTTTCGAAAATTTGGTCCATGGCTAGATTTGTTCTATTATTCATCTCGTTTTACTTCGCTATTTGAATACACTTCCGAAATATATATAAATGGCTATTTCTTTATATTATATATGTATGGCTATTTATATTATATTGTTAATATAATGTTTAAAATTATATTCGTGTTAGAAAGAGATTAATATTAATAATAATCTTTTTATTTTTATATTTTATTTTTATTCCCTGTTGTCATATAATTATGACGTCAGATATTTAACTAGATTAAGATACATATATTTTTTATGAGTATCTGATTTCAATGATTTAATTTCTAAAGTAATAAGTATCGTTGATAAAGATTATCGCGCTGTTTTCGCTTCTAAAAAAAAATTTCCACCCCATTTTTTCTCTTTTTCACATATTATGATCTCCTCGAGAATTATATGAATCTATCGTTTGCGAAATCATGTTATTGAACAATGTTTAAATATCTAAGGGCTCGTACAGTCAAGAGTTTAGGGGAGCAATGTACGTATCATTAATCGAGCGTCAAATAACTTGATGCGGAATGGAGTTCACCCTTAAAGCTGGAATTTTCCATAAAATGGAAATCCCATATCGTCTCGGCGGAAGTGGCAGTTATTTCACACGTGCAATTAAATCTAATGCCTACACGTGTCGTTAGCATGCAAATATATACTGAGAATTATGCGGCGATTTGAAGTTTCCTTTTGTTTATTCTCAGTATCGTTACACATTACACCTCTCTAGGCACGGCATTAGTTTAATATAATAACGGCGATTCAGATGGTGCAGATCGCATTGACGTCACTATCGATATATTGCAGCATGTACGTTTATTGCATTCGATGAAAACTTATTCCGCAGTTACGGGGGCTCCGGCAACTTCAATTACGATCGGGTATAAATTCCATTTCTAGTCAATGGTAGTCACGGGACTCCAGTCGTATTTGCGCGGTTTGCGAACGGCGATTACAGAGACCGCTGATTTTCCATGAATTTCGCGCCATACGGAGAAGGCACGAAGACATCTAATTATAACTCCATACGTTGAAAGGTATCACGCTATTCAAATCAACATCAGTGTGATTAATAGCATGGATTTGTATATATAAATATATTAGCATTTACTTTCTAGAAGTATTTTAATCTATTATATATATATATATATATATATATTTCATTT